GCTATTGGGTCTGTGAATATTTCAATATTACCGACTTGATAATGTGTTGCATTCGTAATTATTACGCAAATATAAACATGGGCGCATTTACTAGTAAATCATTGAAACAGATAGTCAGGTCCCGGAGTCAGGTGTCTAACGAAAGTCGAGAAAATATTTTAAATACTTGTGACTCATCGGTGAATTATTTTATTCGAAATAAAGTGAATATGTAATATTAACCATACAATAACATGCGTAATGTTTGTTTTTTCTATAATAAACTCGCAGCGCACTTCGATCGCGTTATTCACGTACATTTCGACTGAACTCTAATAACCAGGTGTTTGAATTACGTGCGGCAATGGGCAATGACCTCAATGAGTTCACACACTGACGCATTTAAATTCGGGCCACCCAGTTTGACGCAAAACGATATAGTTACTTAATATTTGTTCAAAAAATCGGTATTATAAAACTCTCGCGAAGAGTTAACTGAAAGCCTCAAAGGCAACGTCGTTTTTGACCAAAAAAAAAAACAAACACGTCAATACAAGATTATGTGTGCAAGGTTAGATTTATAGAACGTACATGACCGCTTAACTCTGTTGTTTTTAATAATCATGTCGCACGTGAAACACAGGAGACATTTTAGTTCGTCCATTTCTTGTTTACCGATCTTGAACTTTTTGTCTGGAATGCGATACAGGCAAAGAATAAACATTAATGATACCCACCCTTGTCAAATCAACAAGAGGCTCGAATCAGGAAGGCTCGGCTATTTAAAACTTCGTAAATAACATTATTTTCATGTGGTAGACTTTATTCAAGTGTAACAAACGTAAGTGAAATGTATGGACGAGTCATAATACTCGTACCTTCGAAAGTTACGACTTTTACTCTTGGAATTGGTGATAAATACATGCATAAAATACAACATTGTTTCACGCAACAACAATTCGTATACAGCATTGGACTTATGGATTTTTATATTAATAAAATATGTGGGCCGATAATATTACTACGGTATATGCTTAGTATTTCCATGCCAGCGGTGCTCGTAACCTGCTCGATTTAAAAACAGCTATTTGAAACAAAGACTCATGGAATCACAAAGGAAACTGTTAAGTACGTATTTCACACCTTTCCACGACTGCGGTTGCAACCGGTATCGGTGGCCACCGCGGTAGAAACCCCTAATTATAAGCAGTCCGCGGCTCTCCCCGGTGTACCGCGGAGAGCCGCGGTGATTACCGCGGTGAACCGCCCGTTTGATTTCCTACTCTTCCCTAACATGTCTGAACATTAATTTTTATAATGTCAAAGAAATTATTAGTTGGAACTATGCCATTTACAGTTGCCTGTGAATATTGAACATACTCAAAGCTTGCTTTGTTAATAGCTGTTTAAAATGTTGTTACTTCTCTATAGATAAAAGAGCAGCTCAGAGTTCTCAACGAACTGGTAAAAGCCGTGGAAGAGGTAAAAACAGACAGAATAGGGATGTAAAATCAAGGATACCACCTCTACAGGACACCTTAGTACCTGTTGAATGCGTGGAAATGATGCATGGAGTCGTTCCACAGATCTCCCCCGAAGAGGCATTAAACTACTACGGGATTGTGACTGATAACCAGTATGCGCCCTCTGTAGGCCAGATACTACCTAGTGAGAAAAAGATAATTTCCAGTCAACTGTTTGAAGTTAGTATGGCAAATGTGGCTGCCTCTGAGAGCAGTGCTGCTGATGTTATGGAAACTGCTTTCACTGGTGCCAAAAGAGGTGAGGTTATTCAAAATTAGTGAGGAAATCTAAAATGTACATTTCCATGGAAACAAGTTGCATGTATGCTACCCATCTGTTTTCATTGAATCCTTATACAAAAGTTCAAAATATCGGGAAAATTCAAGTTCATGATATATATTTTTGACTCCCGTGTGCGAAGCACAAAAGGGAGTCTTTGCAGTTACCCTGTCTGTATGTATGTATGTATGTATGTCACTTTTTTTGTTCCACCGTTATCTCAAGAACCACTAATCAAATTTTGGTGAAACTTGGTACATAGATGCTCTGGGATAATGCGCAGAGTTGATTAGGTTTTGGTAAAAATCTATGAATATTAATTACCTAATTTGCATGATAATTAGCTGATTTTTAGCTGTTCCATTACTGTTCCACTGATACATGAAGAACCACTCATTGGATTTTGATGAAACTTGGTACATGGATGCTCTGAACTAATGCGCAGAT